GGGGCTGCCCTGAGGGCAACTAGGTGGCTTGGCATCCAGGATGAGAGATTGACTTTTCACTGTATACCATTTTATCTTTTCAATTTTAAACATCAATTATGTCTTAAAAATATTTTTAACATTAATTTTTGAAATGTTAAAAGACACAATTTGTATTTTTAAAGTTATGCTTCCCTATGAGGGTTGGGGATCTCCCTTGAGAGTGTTTGAATGTCCTTTGCTGCTTTCACCTATGCACCCTAAAACTGGAAGAATGTGGGAAGGCCAGAAAAGGAAGGAGAGAAATCTCTTTGGTTCAGGATTATTCAGATTTTGACCAGTTTCTGCACTAAGGAACCAAAGGAATTCCTATTGTAGATATGGAGCAGGGGATTTTATCTCCAACTCTAATCTACTGCCCAGGGAAGGTAAAAGCCCAAATTAAAAGAACAGAGGGCAAATGCAGAGTGCGTGCATATGTGTGTGTGTGTGTGTGTGTGTGTGTGTGTGTGTGTGTGAGATAATATTTTTTTAATAAAGAAAGATCTGAAAAACTCTGCGTCCTCTTGAAAATTAAGACTGGCCTAGAAAAAACAAAGGTTGCATTTTATTTGAGCAAGTACAATCTAGTATAACAAAGTACAAATTTTTTCCCCTCTTTATCATTTTCCATCCCTAATGGAATTATGTGTGAGCATGTGAAGAGAATGGCCCTGAAAGGAAATATCTTAAATCTCATAAGCAAGCCTTTACACAGTAGCCCATGGCAAAATGGGTTTTTGAAGAACAAACACTGTGTTAAAAATACATTTGGAATTCTAAGATATGAATAATATGAATAAATATGAAACACACTTATGAGAAAATGGATTTATATAGAAAAAGCTACACGGAAACCATAAAGATTAAAATATACCATGCCTAAGTAGTTCAGAATCAGGCCTGTGTCTTTAGGATGACCTTAGAAAAGATGAGGCACATTTAAGTTTCTGAGAACCTTGGTCCACATGATGAGACAGAGTAGTCGTGACGTCACAGTTAGCCAACTGGCAACTGGCTCTGCTTGTCTCAAATATGTCCAAATGGCTTAATTATTTTTGATTGTAGTATAGAAAAACATTATGTTGGTTTCACTCATTACATATTTTAAAGGTATACTTTAGGCACACAGGAAACAGCATGCACTGGACCTAAGGATATATGAAGAAAACTGAGAGGTGTGGTTGCTGATGCGAATGTCCTGTTTCAGGCAAGCACAGAGCTCAAATTCCTTTAAATACATAGCAGGAGATCATTTCCTTTACTTTCCCACTTCAAATAATTTAACATCATGAACTACCTAGTTTGATCTGACAAGGTGGTGTCATCTCATGATCAGGATCAGTAATTTCTATATCCAAAAGTCCAGATTGTGAAACTTTTAGGTTTAAAAATCTGCAGATGCAGCCACAGCTCTGGATTTTGTGCAGCGCTGTTGTACAAGATGTACAGCGTGTATGCAGCTTCAGCTTGTGCTGCCTGGATTTGGTGGGCTTTTGTAGGCAATATCTGCTGGAAGCTGAAGGGAGAGCCCTAAAATTATGCTATTTTAGTACCAAAAGCTTTGGTTTCAGGGACAAATTAGATGAGGAAGAACTGAGTTCCTGTGCACCTTTAAAAGCTTAGTTGAAGCCCTAACTCTCACAAGCTGTTCCTAACTTCCCAAGCAGATGAAGTGCTCACGCATCATCTGGATGGCAGCCACCTGTCAGCTGCCTACACACCATTCTTCCAGAACTCGTTTTATTCAATATTGATGGCCATATGCTTCACCTGGAAACCTGGAACCCTCCCAGCCCCAGGGGTTGAATCTTCACTAGTAATCCAGTACTTTTAATTCCATTCTCCTTGCCGGTGACTGGTTATGATGAAAATTTAGCTAGTGAGACTCAGAGGGGATCTGCTGCTAAAGAGCCTCTGTGCAAACTGTCCTTGTTCTTAAAACAGGACAAAAGAAAGGGTTACTGCCTGTCCTCTCTCTGGTGCCTGCAACTTTAGCAGCAATATTAGGATCAGGGAGACCAGCCTAAACAGTGAACAGGAAGGGAAGGAAGAATCTGGTTGTGATGCCATCAAGTCACTAAATTAAGCAACCCTAGGATTTCCTACCTCTGGACTTATTTTGTGAGGTAAAAAAAATGTCATTATTTAAAGCACTGGGGAGATGAGGGGACATCTGCTATTTTTGGCCCCAGGTAATCCAATGCAATCCTCTTCTTCTGAAATAACCACCTATTTTATAGATTGTAGTACACGCACGCACACATGCACACACTCTTTTTTAAACTAATTCTTGTGTGAGTACTAGTTTTACCTCTCCCAGCTCCTAAATTCAAACTCCTTGGAACAGAGTACACACTCTGGATTCTCTGTCTGGAGACCCTTCTCCCTGGCACTAGCACTACTTCCTTCAAGGCCCAGCTCAAAATCTGACTCTTACAGGAATAGTTTCTTATAGAATCCCTGCCTACATCTTTTTCTTTCTAACACATAGCATTTACTGCCTCTAACTTTTTACATTTTGCCTGCTGATTCTTGTGTCTCCTTCTCAGTGTCTACCACTGAGTACACATTTGATTTAGTGACTGACTGAATAAATGATGGAGTATAGAGCACAATCGACCAGTTCCACCACTGAAACTAGAAGTGGGATGGGGGCATCCTTAACAAATCAGGAGTTACAGTAGAAAATACAGCAGAGCTTAGTACATAGTAGGCCTTCAACAGAGGTCTCATGAGAGGATGAGAGATGACATAGCATCCTATGGTTAGGGCTTTGGGCTTACATCTTGAAGCTTTTTATTATAAACAGAGGATGAAATGTGGATACTGCTGTCTCAATGTAATGAACTTCACCTGAATGTGCTAACATAAAATATTTGATCTAATGTAGACCTAAGCTGTTTTGAGATGGAAAAAAAAATCTTGGGTTGTTTTTGTTTTACTTCAAAACTCTTAATGATTGTTAGCTAAAATTCAAAATAGAGGGCCATCAGCAGACTTCCAGATCACGTGCAGAAAGGCCTACTCCATCACACAAGCTGAACCTCTAATAGCTGCTCTTCTGTACAAAAGCTCTGGGGCCATCCTTCTGATGAGACAGCAGAAAGAGCATCTGCTGAGATTACCACCCAGTGTGGACATCTGCTCCTGAAACCCTGAAGGTATGCAAATACAGCTGTGACTCTAACTTTTAACTCATTTCAGATATTAACAATTTGTGATAACTTTCACTAGGTAATATCAAACTGACACTAAGAGCTTCTGCAAGACCTTTTATATTACACAATAGAGTAAAAGCTGTAGGAAATGTTTAGATAGTTAAATGACCACCAAACACTACATGTGTAACAACATGGTTCTATTAAAAATGCTCTCCAACTACGGCATTCAAGAACAGCAATACAATATTTTCTTTACAAAGCAACTAATATAAAAATCTGCAAATGTCATAAATTCATTCAAAGGCTATTATTTTTATATAGGCATGTCATTAGATTCTTTCAATTCTTTCCTGAGGTATTTTTTGTGGTTTACTTTTATTGTACTGCTGGATGCATTATCTTTGATCATCCTTTCCTAAAATGATTTTTAAAAGACCTGCAAAAATTTTTATTGCATAGGACACTATTCAGGACAATGAGATTGGGAACTGCAAATATTTGGCATTGGAACAAGTCTTACAAATATTGCATTTTAAAAATTTGTTACATACATTTTTTTTACAGTCTGTCTCTTAAAAAATTGAAGTTATAGCTAAGAGTTAACTACATACAGTGAAGCATTTTAGGAATGTTAGAGATTAGAGAATATGATGAATGATACAAAGGAAAAAAGCCATAATTCTTGCCGGCTATATATTGTATTGCCTTCAAAAGCAACTGTACATGTTGTAATCAGTTCATAGTTAAATATTTCTACTAATCTGTTTTAGGAGAGCAAATGTCTTTCAAGGTTTCAAGTTCCTCTATAAGCTTCTTGTTCTGAACTTCCAGCACTGCAACTCGACTCTCCAGACATTTTACATATTCTTTCTTTCGACGTCGACATTCTTTAGCGGCTTCCCTGAAAAAAGTAGAAGCAAAAGGGCAAACAAAACAATTTTGTATGCTATTGCAAACAGACTGAAGTAAGCTTGGTATATGTGATCATGGTTGCATTCCAAATCTTGGAACAACATTCCCAATTCAATTTCAAACACTAAGCCAAACTGGATTCTTAAGGGTCACGAATGTCCCTTCCATAGTCCACATGGCAGTTAGTAGGATTGCTGCATCTCCTGCCTTGATTAAAGTTCACAGTAAACAAGGTCCATGTCAAAGACAGTTACTCTGCTTTATGGCAATAAAGATCTTTGAGGGCCTTGAGTTCCTCAATGAGAGTCTTGTTTTGGTTTTCAAGCACAGCCACACGATTTTCAAGACATTTGACATATTCTTTCTTCTTCCTGCGACACTCCCGGGCAGCTTCCCTGGAACCAACACAAGGCAAATGACTCAGGAACAACCTCCCAGCACAATCCAGAGGGGCTTGGTGAACTTCGGGCCCCCAAACTCAACAGCCAATCAAGCCTAGGTAAGGTCTGTACAAAGCCACACAACAAAGGTGCCCAAGCACATGCCTTTTTAGAAGGTGACTCTAAGAAAACAAGAATAACCCAAGAGCAGTCACTTTGCACAAACAGCATTCATGGTAAACGGTGTGTTCTTAGGGCACATATTCCATGATAACAGTTACCAGAATGGTTTTCAGTAACCTAAAGCAAAAGGACCACATCGCTATGTGGAATTTCTACAAAAACATTTACAGATCCTTTCAATTCTCTTAGTTATTTTTATCCACCGTAAGCTACATATTCCATCACAATGAGCTGACTTTATTTGAGCAAAAGTGATTAGAAAAATTCTCAGAGACCTTAAATGTCAATATTAGAGGTTTTAATTTTTAAGACTAAATCTCAGCAAAATAAATAAGATCAATCATGACTGCAAGAAACGGTTTATTGGCTAGAAAACAACATGGATAAAAACAACAATAAATAAATCATAAATCATGCTTATTTTCATAAACCAAAATGAAATGGACTCTGTTCATGGAAATTAAAGAAGGAAAGAAGGGAGGGTACATAATACAATACTCAACATTTCAGATGATTTAAATCCAGGAACGTGAGAACACCACAATTAAAATCATGAAAAGGAAGCTACAGAATAACTCAAAAGTGTACTTCAAGACTGTTTTCTCATCAAATGCATTTACTATCCAATATACTGAATTTTAAAGCACTGTAGCCATGCCCAAAGTTAAGAACAGACAAGCAGCCAAAGCAACAAACACAAATATGTACACAAGTTATGGTCATTCTCATGCTTAACCCCACCAAAAAAAAAAAAAAAAAAGTGAACACGATCAACACTTTCTCTTTCTGCATTTTTTCAGGGTGGGAGGGAGTAGCAACTACATCACTTAATTCCCCTATAGAATGTACCCTCTGATAACAGCTTTATTTTGGAATATTCAATTCAGAATAACTGCCTTTGGGGTACCCTTTACATCAAAAAAGCCTGCATTGAAAGATGATTAAAATACATTTTAACAAAAGTTTTGTTGAATGTCTAAACACCATTTACTGTAATGCCAATTAGCATTGCTGCAATTCGGAACTAGAAGTGATATGTACAACAGTTTTGGCCAATTCTGTTTTAGGATAGTTGACTCTTACCAACAACTGGTTATCTGTGTTTTCTCTGTGGGAAGCAAGAGTCAGGAGAAAATGAACTGCAGGAAAAGATCAACCCCTACTTCCTAGCCAAGAACAATGCACTCACCCTGTGAACTCGTAAAGTTCTCAGACTTCTCAAAACTGGTTAACAAAAAAGTAACAAATGTACAAGTGAATTGAATCTGATAAATACAGATTAATCTAATCTAAATGATGCACAGGGACAAGTTAAGAATAAATCCAAGCACACTTATAAATTTGGCCACTTAAAAAGTTTGGGAACACAATTCGACTCTCTTCCACAAAGGAACTAATATACATTTGTGAACACCAAAGTTTTCATGAGTAAATCATTATATTAAATTCTAGATCCGAAAGAAGACAGTCATTTTACAAAACAAGTTACCATTAAAATTTTAATTTTTAATAACTTATGAGATGTTTAATTTTTAAAGTTTTATTTACCAAGGTGTACTATTTATTGTAAATATTCCCACTTCATATTTCATATTTGTGCGTGCATGTGTTACCGGCATGAATGTTCCAAGCACAAAGCTTTAAATGATCACACTAGTGGATGGCACATTCCTAAGTACTTCTCAGCTATGGAAAACACCTGTTTCTTCTATTAATAGCTCAGTTTTCAGGCCTTTCATTTGTCTGGATATATCCTCAGCATGAAAAGAAAGTACATGGCAAAGAGGAAAAGCTGACAAGGCTGTAAAGGAATAAAAGCTGTTGCTGGATTGGTAGAAATATAATTAAATATCTATTATAAATGCCAGCCAAAAAATCAAGAGAAAATGTATAAAAGTTCTTTCATGTTAATAAGTAAAACCTAAATCCTTTCTATGAAGTTAAATCTGAAGCTTATGCTGAGGTCTTTTTGGGGTGACTGTGCTGTTAGTGCAGTGAACGGACTCCGGAATAAAGACTGCCTGATTGCATATCCAGGTTCTGTCCAGTTTGCGTAATGTGATATTAACCAACTGGTTATGTAAACTCTCTGAACCTCAGTTCCTCATCTGTAAAGTAAGGATAGCTACCAGACCTCTTCCCATGTGAAAGTTATGTGACAGTAAAGAAAACAGTAGAAATAAAGCACTTAAAACTTGCATACGGTATTTACTCGATAGATATTAAACAACCTAAACAGCCATTTATCATCTGCTTTTCTCTTGTCTTGCTCTGAAATAGAATTTGGGAAGCTAAAATAGACCCTTCTCAGAATCCCTTGCAGCTAGGGATTCTATTAGCTATTTCTAGTCAATGAAATGTGGATAAAAGCTGCTGTCAGGATATTCCAGGACAAGTTTTCACAAGGGTCAGACTCAACCAGCCTCCATTTTTTGGCTCCAGCCCTTCTCCCTTCTTCTTGACTGATGAAATGCCTGGAGGTGTGGTAGTCATGTTGTGATCACAGGAACGAATGTCACACACTGAAGATGACAGAGCAGGGAGCCTGGATCCTTGATGACATGGCTGAGCCTTTGTTCTGGCTGCACGTACCTCTTGACCAGCAACAGAAGATCAAAATACCACCTACAAGGTTAAGCCTCCATTCCCCTTGGTTATTCAGAGCCTAAACACAAATGCTATCCAATAGCTATTATTAACTAATAATTAAAAGAAAAACAAATTTATGACTTTTTTTCCTCCCTCAGACGGATCTCATATGTATGTGTAGGCAGCTGTAGGGCATGTTTATTTGGAACCCACTGCCTAATATTTATTTCATTTTGGTAGTTCTGACAAAATGTTTTAATTTAAAACTAAAGATATAAAATGGCAAAAGGACAATAAGAAGGCCACTTTCCTAGTCCTTTCTTTTTATTTTCTTTGTGAAAATAAGACATTGATGAACAATTTTACAGTTTGCATTATCATCATACTTTATGTTTCTAAACTGAACTTCATAATATACATTCTATGACCAGAGAGGCAATTATATTCAGAGGTCCTAAGATCTCTGAAAGTGCAGTGTTAAAGTATCCATATTTCTCCAAAAGATCAAAGTTAGGAATCTTTGATAACAAGACCTCTATAAAACAACCATGATACTATGTGAGCCCCACACATTCAGCTCCTTCAGAATTTCTGAGCAAAATGCTGATGATGCAAAAGGTGAATCCAGCATGACTTGGTAAACCTGGAACAAGCTCTGGTAAAGATGTGTGTATCTGATGATCCTACTTCTGGTAATCTGTCGAGTTCTCCAGGGTACAAAACTCCATCTAGTGATCTGTGATAACTACCACGCCTGGGAACTGTAGGCAACTTAAGGAGTTCTAAAACATAACAAATTGTGACATTTAAAAGGCTATTAGTTAACTGAATATAGCTGCCACTGCCTCACACTCCATTACAAAGGACAATGATGAACTCAGAAGTTATTCGTGAATTTTAGAGGCTCAGAAGCCATAATTTCTACATTAACTAGGTTGCTAACACCTAGTAAATTAACTATCACCATATGGTCCTGATCATAGGAAAACACATGATCCCATCTGAAATGTTGTTTTCTTACAATGAGGACATTGTTTAATATTTAGGAATAAGGTGACAAGAATACTGGGAAGTAGACTCTTAGACTGTTCTTATTCTGTTCGTTTTGAAAATCAAATTTGTACCATTCTCCATAACAAAAACTAAACAAAGAAGTAATATGCAAAAAAAGAATTTCGGAAAACAGCATTTTTATGATATACTGCTATTTAAAAAATAAAGTATGGTGCAAGAATAAGTGAAAAAATTAGAGAGAGCAGACAGAAAAATACACTGTAACATCAGTAGGTATCTCTAATAGTGGAGCTATGGGTAATTTTAATCTTTTCTGTTGTTTTGTATTTGCACTTAACTAGAATGTTTCAGTATAACAGAGAAAAAAACGAAATTACAAAATAGATAAAAGGAAACTACATGTAAAAAACTTAGAATATTTTAAAACACACTTAAATTTATTTTGCTCATAAAGAAGCTAGAAAATTACACTTATCACCTAACTCTGCAAAGTAAATACCAAGTAAAAAAATACATCTCTATTTGTAAGTAGGTCCTTCCATCATCAATAAAAAAATTAATCTTTTAGACATTACCCTTATGAAAATAAAACATAGGAATGTACCTCCTGATGACAAAATACTTTCATGGTTAGGAACTCTGACTAGCAGAGAATCTAATTATCATCACATGCAGAGCATATACCCACATAAAATGCCACATGAAACTGAACTTGGGAGAAATAGCTTAGGAAAAGTAACTTTTTAAAAAGCCCCTCAGTAACAAATTATGTGTCCTATAAGTGGTTGCTGATTTCTAGTGAACCATCTTACCTGTTTTTCATTAGCCTCAGCTCTCGTTTGCGTGTGGCTTCTTCTGCGAGTTGCTGGGGGCTGTGCAAACTTCCTGGTGAGGCAGCCATCACTACTCCCTGTGGCAAAGCAGTAGTAGGAGCTCGGATCTGGTAAGTTGGCATGTCACCAGTGGCAGCTGCAATGAAACAAAATATTAAATGCTTACATAAACAATTTACAACTTGTTATTTTTATAGAAAATTGGCCTGGAAATAACACTTCTTTTTACATGGCATAAGAGGTGATCATGCTAATGTTTAAGATGATTATTCTGAGGATTATGAAAATCTTAGATATCAAAGATCTTCAGCACTTGGAACACTGACATTTAGCACACTCTACACATTTAAGGTAGAAAAGTGCACTAATGTGTTTTAGATAGGTTTTTATCAAAGGCTAAAGTAGAGAGACTTTTCAACTGAGAGTTTGTTGAGTCTGAAGTCAGTGGTGTGCTTATACAATGTTTAACAACCAGCTCTCTGGGGAAAAAAGCCCTGATCTGTACCATCTGTCAATTCCCATGATATAAATGCTTTCACCATGGACAATTCCAAGCTACCAATGTGACTTCACTGAATGTAGACTTGAGAGGGCATACACAGCAAGTAGCACAACAAACAGGTAAAATTGATGTAAATAACCTTAAGAGCATAGATAAAAAATTAGAAATGATGAGCTTTGAGTATTTATTAATAGTTTTTAGTGTAATTTATTTGTTAAGTGTGTATAGATAAATTAATAGCTTTTTTAAACAACCAGCTCACAAAAATCCTAAAACTTTAACAATTGGCTCTAGCAAATCAGTAGGAGCTGGCTCTAGCACACCACTGCAAAAATTTTAATTAAGGGATTTTCCTATACCCTATATTATGCCTGAAACAGTCACTGCATGTCTTTAGGTGCAAGTCCTATTACCAGAAGATAACTGAGGTACTAGAAGGAAAATAGTAGAGCACTATATTTTCATTTAAAAACAAAAAATAAGAAACAAAACAGCAAAGCTCTACTTAAAACTGGTCTCTCTGGGGAATGGTCATTTTTGTCTGTTTTAGGTTTCTTAGGATAATTATACATTTCTAAAGATTCATTTTTAAAAAAACACTTTCTAATTATAATCATATGACAGACAATATTTATTTAGTATTCGGATTGAATACTTAAAAGTCCCTCAGAGTATCCTAATTTATATTCAAAATGTGTATATCTACAACATACAATATACAAGTTACTGCAATAAACAGTTTCCTAGGAAAGACAGATGGATTTAAATGATCAAACACATTTCTACCACCAACATTTCAAATTTGAGAACATATGGTCCAGAGTTAATGTCATTTTGATGAGATATTACAAAACACATGCTCTCTTAAAACTAAATGCAATAGTTTTAAAAGTTATTAAATGCTATAAAAATTGGTCTAAACCAAATGCCGATCAAAATATGAAACACATCACTTCTATATTTCATTAAAATGTATTATGCCCATTGAGTAAGAACTGAAATTTTACTCAAAAGGGAGACAGACTTTTTTCATGTAAATGGAATATTATTACTGAAAATAGCCAAGCAATTTAAAAGATTAATCAAAAACTGATCTATGTGCTTCTTCTGGGGTAAATGCCAGGTTCCCCTCTACCCTCCTAGGCTCAAGGATTAGGTGAAAGAATAAAACACTAAAAATATGGCTTTGGGGAAGATCACTTAAAGGTCTCCATAAGATTAACATAAATATCATTTATAATGCTGTACTGCTTCTTTGCTCTATAATTTAAGAAACAATGGTGATAAGTAGTAACTGTGGTAAATATAATGATCACTAACAAAATCTCTATTAATAAACTTGGAGAAAATCCTAAATTTGTGACTATTTAAAAAACTGAATATACAGATGTCTCATTATATGTCACAGAAAATTTTATAGCTTTGAAATATTTAGAAAGAGAATTTTAAAGTCAGTGATAAACTGTTAACTTACTAAAAATTTAAAAAAATATTTTAATCACACCATCAGAGGAGATAGAATGGAGCAAAGAATAACAGCTCTCTCCTCTTTTCTCTTTACCCACGTCCAGGGAAGAAGGTTATGGGATAATAAAGGTTGAAACAATGGAACAGCTGGAAGCTACATGGGCTTTCTAAAATTGGAACAATAGTCAGTGACGAAGGAGTTGTTTCCGTGTCATCACGTTGACATTTGCAGGCAGCAGGGATGCAGACCTTGGTCTAGGGTTGTTCTTGCCAAAATCTGCTTACAAATAAGTGCAATAAAATTAATAGAAAGGTACAGAAGGGTTCATTATACTCTCTTTCTAGTTTTGTATTCATCTGCTTTTTTTCTGTACTTAAAGTTAGAGCAGGATGTTTATGTGATATACAAGTTAGTTTAAGAGTATTCATTTAAAAAAAAAGAAAAAGAAAAAAGGAAGGCTGGAATATTTCACAGATGAAAAAGATATTTCATTCATTGGTCTTAGAACCAGAAATGGTTCTAAGATTTTGCCTGTTTCCAAAAGCTGAAGCCACCTTCAAAGGACCAAATTTGGCACCATGAAGAATAATAGAGATTCCAAAAGAAGCATTCTTAAAATATTTTGAGCTACAGCTCAGAGAAAATATCACTTTAAAATGGTAAGTTAGAAGGGATGATATATTTGGATGTATTAGTTCTTGAATGTTAGCTAACAGAGTTTTATCTCCAGTAAAATTGAATTATAGCTCATTAGTTCAAGCCAGAAAAATTAAGCAGTATAAATTAGCAGGAATTAGTATAAATTTCTGTAATAGCCCAAACACTATATGATGGTACAGTTCTAATGGTCACTGAATAAATATCAATAGATAAATTTCACATATCCAAATATGATTTTATTAGTAAATACATTAAAAAGATATGGGCAAAGAGAAGCTTGTGTTTTAAGGAAATCCAAATGTCAAAAAGTTTTATTTTTGAAACATTATAAAAAAGTTTATATATAAGAGTTAGCTTCAGTTTCCAATATTATGAACTCAGTGGTAATTCAAAACAGATTAGATACCTAGGATCACAGTTCAAAGAAACATCCTACATTTTTTGATGGCATGTTCTTATCTCTGTACTTACAAAGGCCAATTCCTGTTCCATCTAACCACTAAACGTGCCCAATTTTTCATTCTAACATTTCACTGTATAAATTATTTCTGAAAATAAATGGGTCATCAGTTGGGGTTTAAACTCATGATTAAAGGTATTTATAAAAAAAGATACATTAATTTAATTTTATGCTAAGGCAGAAAAATCTTTAGACAAGTCAGGGTATCTTTTTTAATCTTGGCATCCCTGAGAATGTTGCACAGAACTTGGCATGTAATGGGTAAGTTTATTTGTACATTATGAAGTAAATTTTGAACTTCTCAGGGTTTTGCACAAGCCCATTGTCATTTGTAATTTTTCAAATAAGCAGTCTTATTATAAGATTATTATCTATTATTATAGTTAAGTCTTTAACACTAAGACATGGAAAGCCCTAAAAGATATGTATTTATTCAAACTGGTCCCTCTTGATAAAAGGCATTATTTCCTAAATCTTCCCTTAGATACTAGTCTTCTAACGTGGCATTTTAGAAGCAGAAGAATTCTAGTTATGGTACTGTTTCCAACCATCTAATTCCTGACACGAAAAAAATGTTTTAGGTTTGGTATCAAATATTTCATGGGAAGAGAAAATTCCTAGAACTCTTAATTCTGGTCATTAACTTCATACCTCTCTTTGCAAGCTTTAAACACGGTACAGCAGAAAAAGCATGGGATTTGGAGTCTGGGTTCTAGTTCAGCTCTGCCACTTACCAGCCATGTGACTTGGGGCAAGTTCAGTTTCCTCATCTGTAAAATGGGGATACATTATCTCATTTAATACTCACAATAAACCCTGTAACATATTGTCAAAGTGTCTAGCACAGTGCCTGGCACATGGTAGGCATTCAGCAAATGTTAGTTCCCTTCCTCTTCCCTTCCTTAAGTTCTGAAAGACAATGTTCCAAATTATGCTTATACTGTATTAGTTAAAAGGCATGTAACATCCATAAATATATTTTCCCCTAGAGTTTCCCTCTTTACAAACCTGAGTAATAGTATGATTGAAATGTATGGCTCTTACTCCTTATTTTATTTAGAAATATGCCTATTAAAAAACTTTTATAATTTATACTATATTTTATTGAATCCCTTTAGAGAATAAGTTATTAAAAGATAATATTATAAAATATCCTTTCCAATGTATATAATCATTTAAAATAGAACCGCAAAGGTAGAAAGAATCACAAATAACCAAATGATACAATCTCATCAGACAGGTAATAAGAAAATGGAAAAACCCCACAAGTCAAGGAGGTGTCTGTTTCTTCCTAAGAAAGAAAGAAATAAGAAACCCGGCCAAATGCCTATCTCGATAGCTTCCAAAGTGAAAGTTTATCAACATGTCCAAATGGTGGTTATATTTGTTTGTTCATTTAGTTACTGAGAGCTCTGTAGTAGAGAGCTCTGTAGTAGATACGTTAATAGAACATTTTTATGTATGGCGCGCCTACCTTCATGTCATTTCAGTACGTGTCACTTATCCCAACTACATCTAAGTGATAAGCTATACAAATAACTCAGAAGTCATACTTAAAAGCAGGGAGCTCCAGGAGGCTGCTGACATTTTCACTTTTCTGTTTTGGTTCTCTCCCTCCCTACCTCCACACCAGTGCTCCTAATGCCAAATTAGGCTTGTCTTTGCTTGGTGTCTCACACTCTCAAAACCTTTCCTTCCCCCATTGCTCCATTTTTTCCTGGAAAATTAAGCCCTCCATAAACATGACTACTTATGTACTGCTGAACATTTCAAATTTGTTACCAACTACCATATAACACATAGATCACGTAGAATTAAGTCCCTAAATAGTTTTTACTTTAAGTTACACATAAGGGACCTTTCTGAGTTGTTTATTAAGTGAAAATCTTAGAGTAAAAAGTCTCTAAAAATGAGAAATTATGAATGTTGAAATTTAAAGTTCTATATAATACAACCAAATGCTCTATTGCCCTATGATAGTAATAATAAATACTTTAGGGGAAAAAAATCCACTTTGACTACTTAAAATGATGCTAACTTCATTTTGTATGTTTGACAGCAGTGTGTAGCATGCTCTTGTAACTCATCTAACATTAGCGTTAGCTTATCAGTGTCAGGTGAATTTTGAGGAGCAATGTAATAGGTATGAACCAGATAAGGGTCTGGAGAGCCAAACTGGTTCACCACTTGCTAGCTTTGTAAACTCGGAAGAGTCGTTCACCCACTCTGGTGCCATGTTCAGTTATATGCAAAGCGATTGTAATAATATCTGCCTTGAGTGCATCAGGGAGAGTGCATAGATAGTGCTTTTCCTTGTGGATATTTAGCTATGGTTTCCTTAGTGAGGCCTGTATTTTGTGGGTCTCGAAATCTGATAGTTTATCTTTGACAGCACGTACAACATTTGTATTTTATTTGTAACATTAAGTGATTTTTTAAATTTTAGTTTACATAAATGCAAAGTATTATTTTATTAGGCAATATATTCATATAGGCAAATAAAACTAGATAAATTATCCCAAATTATTTTCATTAAAATTTTTTTAAAAAATAGTGGGAAATTAGCATAACAGTAATTTCATACAGATTTGGAGTTTTATTGACACTTCAGGTAGATAAGTGACCCCTATGTTTTCACATCCAATATGATTCTAACATGTTTTGCTACCAATTTGATCCAAACTATTCTTTTATGTGAAAATTTCCAAACAAAAACCTTTCAAGTAGTTCCCTTTCATAAAGGTTAAATGTTTTGTTATCATATGTCAAATATTAACTAAGATACTATTTTCCAAATCTGAATAAGTTGGAATGTATTTAACAATTCAGATATCCAGGCTGAATACAACTTGTTAGAGTTTAGACTCAGAGACTAAAAGATTGTTAGGCTCCTAACAGTTTATAAATAAAGCCAAAACTGATTTCTAATAAAAATTTAATCTATATCCAACAAAATCAATAATATAATTCTAGAAACTATAAATATTCACTTTTCATACACAATTCCAGGACCCTATAGGTAAATGCTCCTGAAACCTTTTCCAGGCCTGTCCTCATTGTTAGCAGCCTGATTTTAGTCTAGACCAGTTTTTCAAAATGTAATTTGTAGACCATTGGAGGGTCATAAAATCAAATCCATGAAGGAAGGAAAGCTTTTCTAAAAAAGATATAGAAAAGTACGAGTACATTATGTATACTAAAGATAAGCATTATTTTTGAAAGTAGTTTTATATGTCAGGTACACAAAGACACAGGCCTACTGCATCATGATTTAAACGTGGGTCATGGTCAAAAAGTATGTGAGCCAATGATCTATATCAACCCACCCCCGAAAAAAGAAAGGAAATAAAATGTCTTTTCCATTTTCAAGTAGAATTGATTCTGTGAGAACTGACTAGATTTCCAAAAATAATGATTTCCAAAAGCACAATGAGATCTTGTATAAGTTTGACATTTTTAAGCTTCAGCATTTAGAAAATTTTAAATTGGAAAGGGTAGACTCGTGTATAAGCATTATGGTTAAAACAGAAAAAAATATCAAGTATGGTATTTTATTCTGTAAACATAAGTGTATAAAAAATGTTCATTTATTTACAAGCAATGGTTAAAAATTTATGAAAAAGTTTACTTTCAACGTTCACTTTTAAATGTATTCTGAGTATATTCATTTTATTTTTTGTTATGATTCTCACTCATGCTTAGACAAATCAAGTGGTGAATTGGAATTAAAGGCTTAGTAAAAAAAGATATAAAACAACTAATCACTTTAAGAAAATAAATATAGGAACAAAAATGCAGTTTGGTTCTAACAATCATTAAACATGCAGTATTTGGGATTATTTAAGTCCATCTATATCTTATAAATTTGTTATTTGAGAGCTCCTGCACTCTATAGCATCCCTAAAACTTCATAAAAACTTTGAGAAAAACAAACAGTAGCGCCTCAAGATAATTTTAAAAACAATTTAATACAAGTGCTCAAGACAATGCAATGTTCCCACCTAAGAAGAGGACTGAGACCCATGCTCTGTAGAGGTAGATTGTGGGCAAGTTGTTTACAATCATCCATTCTTCATGAATTCAATTGCAAATCAGTACTGGGTTAGAAATCAGACACCAGTCAATAAACAAAGTTGCAAACACAGAAGGGCCATTAGCGACTAAGTCAAAACTATTACTTATAACTAAGAAAACCAAACCACGGAAAGAATTACGAGTACAGGTTTAAATAATGCTGCTTGGGGGCGATTTTCAGACAAGCGCTTCCCTGACTGCGCACGAGAGGGCGCTGTGAGTCGCAGATCCTGCAGAACGATCAGGGTGAGGGCACACTGGCCCCTGAGCCCACACTGGCCCCTGAGCCCACCTCTCCCAGAACGTGAGGGCCTAGGAGGGGCACAGCCTAACCACGCAGGCTCTGGGGATCTGCCCACACACGCGGTACCGGCTCCCTAAAGCAGATACTTACCTGCAGAGAAATGTTAAAGTGAGGCTTACAAGTCAGGCTACTCAGTCCAAGAGCGATCTTGGAGACAGAGGCAAGCGGGGAGCTAGTTAACAACTTCAAGCTGTCAGCCGCACTTGACAGAGCGGAGAGGATCTGACTCAATCACAGCCTGACTCGGGGCTGACGTCAATGTGCAGCCCGCTTGGAGTTTAACTTTTCCACTTCCCCACCGAACCACGATTCCAGGAAATGCAATGACGTCAGCCCTTTGAACTCCATTAGAGGAACAGACCATTTTAGACACCGAGCAAAGAAACAAGTAGGCGCACAAACATCCCAACACGCTGGTCTGCTTTGGAACTACAACTATACACAGCAATAAAATCGGAAGCTTAATTTTTTACAACTTGAACAGTATGTTTAACTTGTAGCTGAACTGGATATGCAACAGGTTGCAGATGAAGTAACAGCTTATTTTAGGAGGGAGGAGGAAGAGAGAGAGGGAGGGGAGAGAGAGGGAAGAAGGCGGGGAGAGAGGGAGAGAGCGAGGGAGGGAGGGCGGGGGAGAGAGAATTACTGCCCTGATCGAGTAAGCAATACTGAACAAAGAAGCAATTACACTTAGATGTCTTAACAAAGCATGCTGACTATATTGATAACTTATTACTCCTCAGCTACTAGAAAATTAATACTTTTAAAAATACTCAGAGGTGTGTAAAATAATTTTTCTAAATTTCAAAAATAGTTTTGCAGAATTTAAATCCCTCTCTCAAGTTCTTACCTGTTTCATCTCCAGTTACTGCCATGATGGGCTTCTGCATGCAGAACTACCTTGTTTGCCCTATCACAGGTCAACATAAAGTGTTCCAACTAGCAAGCAAGTGCAGTTATGATAAGTGGCAGTATTGACATCACAATGACATCACTAGCCTATCACTGCCATCAATTTGCTTTGTCACAGACCAGCTCACTGAAACCAAAGCCCTATAAAAACCTTTCCTGTAATAAACTATCGAATGCTCTTGTTTCTCATTTTTACATAAAAACTGTTGAGATTGTTCTGGCAAAAAAAACCCCAAAGTCTCATTAGCATTAAGTTACTTGTTTCTTATGGGGTTACTTTATTATTGTTCTGTCCAAGGTTTCTAGGTAAACAAAGGGGTCATAAGCCCTATAGATTTTTCGTAACTCAGAGAAAAAAATACTGGCGATTTAAAAAATAAACCAGTGACAACCAGCCCAGAGAGATGCTGTGAAAGACATAGAAATGTCTTTCACAGTCACTTTTAAATTCACCAAAAAATACCCAGCCACTTTTGTTCA